TTTTGATTTTGGGCTTCACTCGCTCAACTGTAGGCAGGGGTGGTAACTTCTTCAGCTCCTCAAGAACAGCTATAGCAGCATTCTTCTTTGAAATCTTCTTGCTCTTCCCTTCACCTTCCCCCACAAAGTCCCCAACTGAAACCTTGGTCACAAAGTTCTTCATGTGGGGTGGGCCACTTTCCCGGGCCACCTGTTTCAGAGGGAAAGACTGAGTGAAAGCGTGATAGACACTTATTAAAGCTGTAGGGCACACTGGTTGGCACACTTCACTTTACATGACACACAGGAAAAGGAGCATTAAGGACAAGACCCATTAAAGGGAGGGAGCATTAATGTTGACAAAAGGGGGCTGGCTGGTTAGCTCAGCTGGTTAAAGCATGGTGTTATAAAACCAAGGTCAAGGTTCCAGATCCCCTTACCAGCCAGCCACCAAAAAAAAAAAAAAAGTTGACAAAAGGAAACAGTGGATGCTGTTTCCAAATGCTGCTTCTCTGTCTTCTTATTTTTCAAACTAGTTTATATTGTTGAGTCTCATGAATCCAAAACAGTTAAGCATGGAATAAATAGACAATTTCTTCCCCCATTCCCCTAGGGTCACAGGTTGTCCTGACTTTAGTGTGATCCATGGCTGCTGGCAAAAAGGAAGCTGGCCCAGGAAAGCCTAGAAAGAACTGCAGGACGAAGAGTTCAAGTTTAATATTTGCTCTGAGCCTCCAGCCAAGACTGAACTTATTAAGTACTGAGCTGCTTTGTAGCTGTAAGAAAAAAATGAGAAAAATCTCTAAGCACTGATAAAGAGTGATATGCAGCATATATTCAGTGAAAAAAATCAAACTGCAAAAGAGCATATACGGTATGTTAACTTTAGTGTGAGAAAAAAGGGCCTTCTGTATGTGTGTACACATACACACGTATGTATAAATAGACACATATGAGTGTTTATGTGCTTATCTTTGCAAAAAGGACAGGAGGGATAAAGCTGAAACCAGTGAAGTTATAGCAGGTGAGAGAGATTGGGGTAGAGACAGAGGATAAGATGTGAATGTATCTTTTTGTGTAGTTTTGATTTTGGGAACTATTTAGTGTTTTATGTATTAAAATAAAACTAAGTCAACAAAGAAGGGGAAAAAGCTTAAAACTGAATATGAACAGAAACCTAACTATATATTAAATGAATTATATAATCACATGGAAGGAAAATAAAAATATAATANAAACCTAACTATATATTAAATGAATTATATAATCACATGGAAGGAAAATAAAAATATAATACAACTTAATATTAGCCAAGACACTCTTGTAAAGATAAACAAAGTTAGAAAACTTGCACTACCAGATTTTGAGACTTCCCATAAAATTACAGCAACTACGATATCATGGCATTGTGTGAGAATAAACAAACAGATCAACAGAACAGACTGCAGAAATTAACCTGCACATATAAGGTCAATTTGATTTTTGGCAAACATAGCAAAGCAAATGAAAAGTCTTTTCTTAAAAAATGGTACTAAAGGATCAACTAGATACCCACAGAGGGAGGAGGGAATGAAATCATGATCCCTAACTCACACCACAAACAAAAATTAACTGGTGATAAATCACAAACCTAAAGTGGAAGCTAAAACTAGAAAGATTTTAGAAGAAAACATAGGAGAAAACTACATGACCATGAGGTTGGCACAGACTTAAACACAGAAGACACCAACCATAAAGAAAAAAAAAATTAGAATTCCTCAAAATTAAAAATTGCTCAAAGACAATATTTAAAAAGTAAAAAAGGCTGCCCGTAGAATGGGACAGAATATTTGCAATATATATCTGACAAAGGATATTTAAAGAATTCCTACAGGTCGATAATGAAAAGACAAATTATTCAATTTAAAAAATGGGCCGGGCCGGCCCGGTGGCGCACTGGATAGTGCGCCGCTTGGGAAGCGCGGCGGCGCTCCCGCCCAAGGGTTCGGATCCCACGTACAGACCGGTTCCCGCTCACTGGCTGGGCGAGGCGCGGGAGCGACGCCGAGGGTTGCGATCCCGTTGCCGGTCCCCGGTACGGTATGGGGGCGACACTGATGGTTGCGATCCATTGCCGGACACGGAAAAAAGACAAAAAGACAAAAAAATAAAATAAAAATAAAAAATGGGCAGCTGGCCAGTTAGCTCAGTTGGTTAGAGGTGCAGGTAACACCAAGGTCCATAGTTCGTTCCCTGTACCAGCCAGCCACCCCCACAACCCAAAAAAGGGCAAATATTTCAAAAGGTACTTTACAAAATAAGATCTCTAAATGGCCATTAAGCATATGAAAAAGTGCTCTTCGTTAGTCATTAGGAAAATGCAAATTAAGACCACAATAAATATACACACACACAGCCCAAAATGGCTAAAATTAAAAAGACTGAAAATATTGGGAGGGAGAAGAGAAGAGATTGGATAAGGGGCATAAAGAATAAGTATGATTTGTAACAATGAATATACTAACTAAAAAGTTTTTTAAAAGACTGAAAACATCAAGTGTTGGCAAGGATGTGGAGCAACTGGTGGGAGCATAAATTGGTACAATCACTAGACACACACACAAAAAATACACGGCTGACCACTTAGCTCAATTAGTTAGAGTGCAGTGCTGTGACACCAAGGTCAAGGGTTCGGATCCCCCTACCGGCCAGTCACCAAAAACAAACAAACAAACAAAAGTACATATTGTACTGAAGCCTGAGAACAAGTAAAACTAGTCTACCGTGACAGAATTCAAAAAGCAATTTCTTCTGGGTAGGGATTAACTGGAAACGGGCAAAGAGACTTTTCGAAGTTATGGAAATGTTCCATATATCTGGGTGGTGAATTAGGTTCTGCACATACGTTAAAATGTACTGAGCTGTGCACTTAAGATATGTACATTTTACTGTATATAAAGCTTATTTCAATAGACTGTTAGAAATAATCCAAGTAACTTTGGAACACAATACTTTGATCATATACCTTCAATGTAAAGATAAAAAGATATTGCAGAGATACAAGCAACTGCAAAGATGTCTTGAACTTTACTTAGTAGGACTGTTGTTGATGGTATAGGTAAATACATTGATGTTGCTGGGAGCCAGATTCTTACTATGGGAAAAAGGAGATGCAAATATGGAATAAGGAAGAGAGAGGAAGTACCCTGTGATAGTGGATTGAAACCAGAGGTATAAACTTGTGATTTTAAAAACACACGTATTTCCTAGCTCTGTCTGCTAAAAGGGCCTAGAAGCAATGACTCCCCAGCAGCAACAAGCATACTTAGCCCCCTCATCTGGTCTCTCAATTCCACTCTCCATTAATAGGACCAGGACTCCTTGGAAGAATGGAGTGGCCATTTCTATTAGAAACTTCCATTTCCACCGGTGCCAAAGCTAAAGAAAGGAAAGTTCAAAGTAAGGCTAAAACATTTTGTTATATCAGAAAGTAAGGAAGTTCTCGAAATCTGAAGAGGAGAAGTGGGAAGATGATTTAATAAGGAAAAGATTGTCTTGTCAATAAATGGTGCAGGAACAATTAGACATCCAAATACAAAAACAAAAAACTTCAACCCTTATCTCACGGTATAAATAAAAATTAACTTGAAGTGAATTATAAACCTAAATTTAAGAGCTAAAACTATAATACTTCACAAGAAAACAACAGAGAACATAACAATGATAAAATATAAAAGAAAAATCTGACAAACCAAAATCAAATACTTCTTATCTTCAGAAGACACTGTCGAAAAATAAAATAAAAAGACAAGCCACAGACTGGGAGAAAATATCCACAAAACACATATCTGATAAAGGACTTGTATTCAGAATATATAAAGAACCCTCAAAACTCAACAATACAAAGACACTCAAAAATTTGACAAAAGATATGAGCAGACACTTCACTAAAGATATACCAATAGTAAATAAGCACATGAAAAGATGATCATTTTCACTAGTTTTCATGGAGATACAAATTAAAGCCACAAGATACTACTACATACCTACTATAATTACTAAAATTTTAAAAACTGACAATATCAAGTGTTGACGAGGATGTATAGCAACTAAAACTCATACACTGCAGGTGGAATGCACAATGACACATCCAGTTTGGAAAACAGTTTGACAGCTTCTTATAAAGTTAAAGATATTTATCATACAACCCAGAAAATCCACTCCCAAGTATTTACCCAAGAGAAATAAAAATGTCTCCATGAATGTATGTAAATGTTCATGGTAGCTTTATTCATAATCACTAAAAATTGGAAACAATACAAATGATCTTCAACTGATAAATGGATAAGTTGTGCTATGTCCATATGATATGGGTTGAACATCTGTCCCTTCCAAAGCTCATGTGGAAGACTGATCCCCAATGTGGCAGTGTTGAAAGGTGGGGCCTTTAGGAGGTGACTGAATCGTGAGGGTCTTGCCCTCTTAATGGATTATCATGGAGTAGCTTGATAAGGAGAGCACATGAAAACACCCTTGCCATTCTTGCCATATGATTGCCTGTGTCACCACAGGACTCTAGAGAGAGTTCCCACCAAGACAAAGGCCTTCACCAGATGCATCCCCTGGACCTTGGACTCCCCAGCCTCCACAATGTAAGAAATAAATTTAATTTTCTTACAAATTACCCAGTTTCAAGTATTCTGTTTATAGCAACACAAACTGACTAATACACCATAAAATGAAACACTACTCAGCAATAAAAAGGAACAAACAACTGATACATGCAACAAAACACATGACACCAAATCTGCATTATGCTAAGTTAAAGAAGCCAGACAAAAGGCAATACTATAGGGACAGAAATCAAGTAGAGAGTAGAACTATGGTTCCTAGAGGCTGGGAAGAGGGGTTGTGGGGAGAGGGAGAGGTTGGTTAACAGATACGAAATCATAGCTAGATAGGAAAAATAAGTTCTTGTCTACAGCAGTGCTTGGCATCTATAATTAACAATAATTTATTGTCTGTTCTCAAATGGCTAGAAGAGAGGAGTTCAAATGCTCTCATCACAAAGAAATGATACACTTTTGCAATGATGAATATGCTAATTACTCTGATTTCATCATGACACATTGTATACATACATTGAAATATAACTGTACCCCATAAATATGTACAATCACTATGTGTTTTCAAATTTTAAGAAAGAGAAAAGAAATTAGACCAGTAGTTGCCAGAGGCTGAGGATGGAGGGAAGGGACTAACTGCTAAGGGACAGGAAGAACTTCATAAGGTGAAAGATGTTCTTGACCATAGAATATCTTCACCATAGTGGTGGTTACACAGTATATACGTTTTTATCAAAACACACGGAACTGTACACTTAAATAGGGTGACTTTTACCGTATATAAAGTGTACCTCAAGAAACCTGAAACACCTTTCCCCCAAAAAACAAACTGATGGGGAGATGTCAAAATACAAGACCCAGTTTGAAGGGCAATTTGTTTGGGGTTTTATTGGCGATTGGCCTGTATGGGGATCTGAACCCCTGACCTTCGTGTTTACCAGCACCACACTCTACTGAGTGAGCTAACTGGCCAGCCCCTGAAGGGAAATTTTAATATCAAAATGAATGATGATAATAATGGAATAAAAAAAGAAGCAATGCACCTATACTGATATAAATCAATGTAATATAAAAAGGGAAAAGGAAAAATTTTTCTTCATAGTAGACTGCTGGTTTGTAAATGCAGAAAATCAGTGATAATGGATGCGGACAAGAGTCATCAATGACTAGATGCCACTGGGGAAATCTGTAAGGGCACAGCCTATAAGTGTCTCCCCACACACAGGTTACGGATTAACTACAACAAAAAGGAAGTCTCCTTCCAGTGGAGCACATCTGGTATAGACAAGTGAAACCAATAGGCAACAGTAATGTCACTAAAAATGGGATAAAAAGTGACGTCATGTTCGGCTCTGAAAAGGACCAACACCAATTTGGTAGTGATCCTGCCAAAAAATGCATAATACAAATCCAATCACGGACAAGCAATCAGACACACCCAAAATGAAGGCCATTCTACAAAATAATTGACCTTTAAACATGTCAATGTCATGAAATACAAGGAAAGGCCTGAGGAAGTGTTACAGATTAAAAGAGACTAAAGAGACAGGTCAACTTAATGAAAGGAGTAAACCTGTATTGGACCCCAGAACAATGAAACCTAAACAAAAATGGAGGTGGGAAGGAAGCAAGAAAAGTTCATATAAAGGACATCACTGGGGCAACTGGCAAAATGTGATATAGGATATATGTTAGATAACAGTATTATAGCAATGCTAAATTTCCTGTATTTAATAATTAGGTTGCAGTTACTTAAGAGCATGCATGCCCTTGCTCTTAAGAGATACATGCTAAGGGGGAGTAAAGGGAGGGCGGAGAAGAGATATACATGCTGAAATAGCAGAAGTCAAATATTCGCCACTTACTCTCACATGATTCAGTAAAGTAAAATACGGAAAATAAAATTATATGTGTATTTACAGAGAAAAAAAGCAAATGTGGTAAAATATTAGACACTGGTTCATCTAAGTGAACGATATATTCACTGTCCTATTATTGCAATTTTTCCATAGGTTTATAATCTTTGAAAATAAAAAGTTGAAAAAATAGCTAGGAAAGGGCCGGCCCGGTGGCGCACTGCTATAGTGTGCCGCTTGGGAAGCGCGGCGGCGCTCCTACCCAAGGGTTCGGATCCCACATACAGACCGGTTCCCGCTCACTGGCTGAGCGAGGCGCGGGAGCAACACCGAGGGTTGCGATCCCGTTGCCGGTCCCCGGTCCGGTACGGGGGCAACACTGAGGGTTGCGATCCGTTGCCGGACACGGAAAAAGACAAAAGACAAAAAAAAAAAAAAAAAAAAAAAAATTAGCTAGGAAAAAATTAGTGAGCCCAATAGCTGTGCAGTGCTGATGTGTAAGCAGGAAAGAGGAGGCCTCAGCACAGCCTTCTATTAAGGAAGAAGGGTGCTGGGAAGGATCCAGCCCACATGGGTACCTGGGGACTGATTCCAGAGAACTTCCCCAGGTGCCCCTCACACCCATGGCTTGGAGCCCGGAACACTCCTTTCCAAACAGTGTTTTCTCTATCCTCAGATTAGACTCGGGATATGCGCGGCTGCCACCTGGAGGCTCACTTCAGATTCCCAGCTCCACTGTGGCCCCTCAGCAAGGACTTCCACTATCTTCACCCATCAGGAGCCACCAATCCAAATCCGAAGCTTGGTCCAGATTGGGTCTGCATGATCATGTCACAACTGCCTCCCTCCCAATGACGGTATCAATCAGCACTATCACATTTTCTAACTAAAACTTTATTTTATCCAAAGTCAAGCTGTACACTTTTTTCTGAAAAACTGTATGAACAGCTCCTGTCTTCTATTAAACATCTAACTTGGCTTCCCATGGAACAGATTTTACCACCAAAAACTTGGTCAAAAATTAACTATTCTGGTTCATTTATTCAATAAGTATTTCCTGAGCATCTGATATATGCCAGGCAATCTTCCAGGTCCAACAGAAAGAAAGCCACTGCTCCATCTAATAATGGAAGCAAATATGGACCTTTTGATACATGAGTTCTTCAACATAAGTGGTCATATTAACAAACTCAGTGACACCACCTAAACGCAAACTGCAAAGTTTTCAAATTGTTACTTTAAAAGATATTCCCTGCCAGAGCGTATTTCTATAATTTCTTTTATATGACTACTTGACAGTTCCGTTATATGTTACATACTCCTGAACACAGGTTTGAAAGCCAAATCTGAAACCTAAACAAAAGTGGAGGTGGGAAGGAAGCAATCTGGCTGCACCCAAATCCCACACAGCAAAAACATAAAGTGGCAATCTCCCACAAAGGTTCCAGAAAGCTCTTTGACTCTCAGGCAGGGCAGCAACTAGTGTGAGTGAGTGAAAAGGTTCACAGCAATCAAGGGCCCTGGCCCAAGCAGTCACCTCTGTAACCCTGAGGTGACTCAGGAAGCCGGGCATCTCCCACCCCAGCTCCAATCTTTAAAAACCCATTCTCATGCCATGCAAATCCCTCAGCAGGGGAGAAAAGGAGCATTTCTTCCCTCATCTCAATAGATGCCCAGGGGAACCTCTTGACTTCCTGACATACAGCTCCCACCTAGTTAACAAACTGTCATTCTGTATTTCCCCTGTCTCATTTCCTCCCAACCACACCCCCGCAGCCCGCAACAGAGGGAGAAAGGCTGGGAGGGATATGGGACCAGATGAGGAGACACCAGCCCTATATCCATCTAGGGGCTCTGTACTCCAGGAAGTGGAACACTATAAACCTGGTCTTTCCTGCTGGGGAATGGGGGGTAAGGATGAGTGGGGGGTGGGGGGTAATGAAGGAGAACACAGGAAATCCTTGAACACAGGCTGGCCCCATGATCCATGTACAACTCTCCACCCCACCTTCGTCCCATGGCAGGCAGGTAAGCACCACAGGTTGTAGTCCAAAATCATCATCACTCAGGTGAAGGGTGAAAATTTGAAGTGGGGGCAAGTTTAGGGCACTAGCACATATTAGGAGAGGCTATGTATTTTAGACAGCCAGGTATGAAATTTAGAAGTCACCTGTAACTGCAAAAAATACTAAAAAATTAAAGTATTTTACAAGAAAATAAACTTCGGATAGGCTTTTAAAAGAAAGAAACAGACCATAAGCATGGAAATCAAAGGAAAGAATTTGCAAAGAATTTGCCATGTGTCAGACTATATGGGAAACTTTATAAAAATCTTCCTTTACCCCTCTCCTAATCTATTTGGATTGACTATGCTGTCTCTGAAGGAAAAATGTACTAAATGTGCCTTATTTTCCACTTTGAACAAACCACCCATTAATTATTATTTTTAGACCACAAAGTCTCCAACACCAAATAAAGTTATTAAGCAGGTAAATTAAGGGCAGGCACTGGACAATGACAGACCTGTGTCCAAAATTACTCTGACAAGAATTTAGGGACCATTTAAGGAGATTCTGAATATTCTGGAGGTAAAGACACTTTTGAGACTGATGAAAGCGATGGACCCTCTGTGCAGAATACACATGTAAACAGAAGCAATATCCTTCAAACCATTTCAGGAGGTTCACAGACCAATGGCCTCTCTAGAGATCTACAGATGCCCCTAAGTTGAGGACTCCTAGAAGAGAATAAACATTACTTTGCTAAACATAAAGTTTGAATCTTAAATTTGGAGGCTTGTGAATACTATCCTAATGTCATTTAGAGAAAAAATCATTTCTATGATGAATGCTAACAGGATTTTATAATACAAAGTCCTACATATAAAATAAGCTTACCTCAAAATTCACAGGCAAGTTCCGTTTAAGTGCAATCTCAAACACCTGACTTATTTCAGATTTATTGAGATTTTCTTCTTCTGATTCTCTCCCATTCACCTAAAAGAATAATTGTTTAGTAGTTAGCTCTTACTAAAATCATCAATATCCCAGCTGCAACGATAAACCTTAAAATGACTGAACTTTGGCTTTATGGATTTATCCAAGGCCACATATGTACCATGTGTCAATGAATTTTAAAAGTTAAAAAAAATCCTGTCAAACTTGGATCAGACTGTACTTCATGAATCCACCATAAACAATACACACATAACAGACCCTTGGGTGTGAATCACAGTAACTGTGGTGCAGCCAGATGCCACTGCTGCTTGGGAACAGTGCCTTCCTAAATACTGTATTGTTAAGCCATGTTATGGAGATATAAAAATACAGACAGATCTGTGTGGGATATGGCAAGTTCAGATACAAGTCTCTCCAGTTGAAATATGCTTGTTTCTTATTTGGACATAAAGTCACTGGAAACCACTTTTACTTTCACTTTTTTTTTGGCGGCTAGGCAGTACGGGGGATCCAAACTCATGGTCTTGGGGTTACAAGAATGCACTCTAACCAGCTGACCTAATCAGCCAGCCCAAAACCACTTTTAAAAAAGATGCAGTTGAGGGCCAGCCCATGGCTCACTCGGGAGAGTGTGGTGCTGATAACACCAAGGCCACGGGTTCGGATCCCTATATAGGGATGGCCAGTTAGCTCACTTGGGAGAGTGTGGTGCTGACAACACCAAGTCAAGGGTTAAGATCCTCTTACCAGTCATCTTTTAAATAAATAAATAAATATAAATATATTATATATATATATATATATATATAAAGGATGCAGTGAAATAGAAATTACAAACTTGTCATGTATCTCATACTTACTGCTACTGGCAAAAATTCAAGATCTAAACTAATAAAGTCTCCTCTACAAAGGCAGAGATTCTATCTTTGCAACAAGATTCATTTACAGTCCTCTAGCCAGGGATGGGATTAAAGAGGGACAGGGATCTTCTCTCTGTGGGCTGATAACATGGATTTTATATTGAGTTGTTGTGATATGAGAAACTAGATAAGCTCAGTAACAGCAAACTTTCCCAAAACATGGCAAGAGAGCTGCACTTTTCTTCACATTATTGCTTCTCTTTTGTCAAAGAATTTGTAAAATCTTATTTCCAAAATTAGAATTATCTAACAGGAGGAACCCATGGCTGAAATTGCTAAACAGGCAAGGTGCAGGACTCTCCAAGATTTTATCTGCTGTGCAGATCCTTATTTTTATCAGATAGATCTCATCCACACTGAATCAATGTTACAAGCTTTAATTAAAATAAAATTAAATGAATAAAAAACTTTAGGTTAAAAAACCTATTAACACAATCCAGGGTATAATCCTGAACAAATAAACGTATTCCAGATGCTATTTATAATTCTCTCCTTCTACAAAATGTTTTCCTTCCAATCTGGTTTCACTTTACTCTTTGCCTAGTCAAAACTATTTGCATAGCATTTCTGGTGGTTTATTAACCTAAACACACTTGTATTTTTGTTTTTTAAGTCCTAAGCAGAAAGAGGGCCTGCTTTTTTATGAGTTAATCTTTAAAACCAGAAATCTCCTATGCAAAGTACCTTAGAAGGCTAGGGTTCCACAGGTTTGTTTTGAAATCTATTTTTCAAATAGATTTTAAACTAAACAAAACACAACTGTATTTTAAAAAGTATGTTCAACAGATGATGCTGGGAAAACCGGACATCCACAAGCAAAATAATGAAGCGGGACCCTTACCTCACACCACACGCAAAATTAACCCAAAGTGGATCAAAGATTTAAACATACAAGGGAGAACTATAAAACTCTCAGAAGAAAACATAGGGGAAAAGCTTTATGACACTGGATTTGGAAATGATTTCTTAGATATGACACCAAAAGCATAGGCAACAAAAGAAAAAAATAGATTAATAATACTTCATCAAAGTTAAAAACTTTTGTGCATCAAAGGATACTATCAAGAGAGTGAAGACAAGTCATAGAATGAGATTTGCATATGTATCTGATAAGGGATTAATATCCAGAATATATACAGAACTACCTCATCAACAATAAAACAACACAATCCAAAAATGGGCAAAGGACTAAAATAGGCATTTATCCGAAGATATACAAATGGCCAAAAAAGTACATGAAATGATGTTCAACACCAGTAACCATTAGGGAAATACAAATGAGAACCACAATACCACTTTGCACACATAAGGATAGCTATTATCAAAAGAACAGAAAATAACACATGTTGGTGAGAACATGAAGAAATTGGAGCATCGCTGGTAGGACTGTAAAATGGTACAGCTGTTGTGGAAAACAGTTTGATAGTTCCTGAAAAAGTTAAACATAGAATTACTATATGACCCAGCAACTCTACTTCTAGATGTATACCCAAAAGAAATCAAAGTAGGGATTCAAACAGATATTTGTACACCAATATTCATGGCAGCATTATTCACAACAGCAAAAAGGTGGAAACAACTCAAATGTCCATCAACAGATAAATGGATAAACAAAATGCGAAATATCCATATGGAATATCATTCAGCATTAAAAAGGAATGAGTTTCTGAAACATGCTACAATATGGATAAACCCTGAAAACATTAAGTGAAATAAACAGACACAAAAGAACAAATATCCACTTTTATAAAGTACCTAGACCAGGAAAATGCATAGAGACAAAAAGTAAAATAGAAGTTACCAGAGCCTGGGAGTTAAGGGGATTGTGGAGTTACTGTTTAATGGGTACAGAGTTTCTACTTGAGATGATGAAAAAGTTCTACAAATGGATAGTGGTGATGATTGCACGACACTGAGAATATATTTAATGTCACTGAACTATATAAACTTAAAAATGGTTAAAAAATTTTTTAAAAAGCAACAAGAAAAAAAGCATGTGTTTCAATACCAAATTAACACACTGGATATTGTCAACACATTAACTTCTGCTAACAAGTTAGCTCATTTTTGTGCACAACAGAATAAAGCTTTTTGACAGCTGTTTATTTGAAGAGTACCCAGAGATTTTTTTTAAATAGATGAACTGTTTGATATGATGGTGATGGGTGGAGAGGGGGAAAAAGAAGGAACTGGTAAAGGGACATGAAAATCAACTACACCGTATAGTGATAAAATAAAAAATAAAAAAATTGAAAATAAATAAATACATGAACTGTTAAAAAGAAAAAAAAAGGGGGGGGGAAAGCCTACTCTTAAGCTGATTAACTGTGTTTATGAGAATGTTCACCTTATGTGCAACCAGAACAAAATTTGGAAATAACTTGGATGCTGAGGCCGATGTAAGAACTCAAGTGCCATGTATATATCCCAATTTTCAAACATTTTGTTCATTAATCAGCCCAATTAATTTTAACTTTTATTTTTAGTTCTGACCTATTTCAAACATACAGAAAAGTATAGTTAATTTAACAGGCAATTGTCCTGGATTTAAAAGAGATGTAACATGAAGTACTACTGACATCAGATTTTTTTAAGAAAAACAATAAAGCCCTTCTCACTATCCTTCCTATTGCAATTAATAACTATTCTAGAGTGGGACTGTATCTTTCCCAGCCATGTTTTTTTTTCTTTAATGGACAAAAAGAATACTGATGCTCCTCAACTTACAATGGGGCTACATCCTGATAAACCCATCGTTAAGTTGAAAATATCATAGTTAAAAATGCATCTACCCCAGTAAACCACTGTAAAGCCAAAAAATCTTAAGCTGAACCACTGTAAGTCAGAGACCATCTGTATATAGTATAATTTTTTGTTTTGAAAATTCATGTAGGGCCGGCCCGGTGGCGCACTGGATAGTGCGCCGCTTGGGAAGCGCGGCGGCGCTCCCGCCCGAGGGTTCGGATCCCACATACAGACAGGTTCCCGCTCACTGGCTGAGCGAGGCGCAGGAGCAACACTGAGGGTTGCGATCCCGTTGCCGGTCCCCGGTCCGGTACAGGGGCAACACTGAGGGTTGCGATCCGTTGCCGGACACGGAAAAAGACAAAAAAAAAAAAAAAAAATTCATGTAAATCATTCTCACGAATTGCCTTTATCAATACTGTAAATTCAAACTTACAAACCCATACCGATTAAATGCTTTTTTTTTTTTTTAATTGAGGTTCCACATAAGACTGAGAAAACAATGCTACTGCTAAATTCTAAACCTTAAGCCAGTGGTGGTTCTCAATCAGAGGAGCACTAAAATCACTTGGGAGCTTCACAAGGCAAGAATGCTTGAGCCCACTCCACACAGGGGAACTCGAAATTTTTGTAGCTATGGCCTGGATAACTATTTTATTTATAGCATTTGTTTATTTTTTAACATAAGTCCCCAGTTGATTTTACTAGCAACCAGAGTTGAGATTCATTGCTCTAAGCCATTGCTTCCAAAGTAATTTTAACAGGGACAAAGCACCAGTAAAATAAAATGCAAAACAGGGAACAAAGATAAACTTATTTGGAAGTGAGATTATGCTGTTCTTTTACATAATTTTATACTATCTGGATTGGACAAAATGTTGCAAATGAGACAGCAGTGATTGACTCAAAACTAATCCATAAATACCATTACCAGTAAGATGACAAAAGTTTAGCAGGCTCATAATCCACAAAGTGGAATTACTGTTAACATGAATTCCATAGTGTATAGTTCCATATATAATTCCATAGTGTAAGGTCCTCTACGTGCAACTAACTGTTCACCACCTGATGCACGTGAACATGGGGCACAGCCAACCTATGGCACTACCAGATTTCAAATACATCTCCAACAGTGCTAGCTAATCAGGACTTCTGCGTCTTCTTGTACTGCTACTACACACTACTTTTAAAATAAACCCATAATTTTGTTGAAGAAAAAACAGCCATATTTGCATGGTACCTGCAAAATGCTTTCATTTTTAGATTTACAAACACCTATAGAAGGATAAATCAGGGATTTTTTTTCACTTTTATATTATCTATTTCTTTTCAATCACTTTTGCACACACACTTCTTTCTGCTTTTGTCCC